AGGAATGGAAGACAGAGCACAGCTGTGGCAGCAGTCACAGAAGTATTTCCCCAGGTAGTCACAATAGCGGAGCCTCCTGATATATTCTGCAGGTAGATACAAATTAAATTGTTAATATTTATCATTCATACGGGACACACCTTTTTTCTGAATGCCTATTCTGTTTAAATAACTTGTATCAGGGTTTCACTACTGTGCTAAACACAAACATAAGGTCTGTACTTTGCCTTGGAAGAGACAGCTTTCCTTGTTTCCACATATGTCAAACAGAACTGACTATATTATCTTGGAGAAATCATTGTTGCCCTACCCAAAAAAGAGACAAAGCACACAACAAAATACTTCCACCAGATGGAAAGACAAGTGATCATGGAGTCACATTTACATAATACTTTTTCATTTCAGATTCTTCCCAGCTATCTCAGCATCTCAGGTTTGCTTGGGTTAAAATGCCACCACAGACAGCTGATACTTTACAGGCCAACACAAATGCTGTTCTTCTTCGAGCAGACTTAGAACAAGTCTTGAAAGCCACTTCAGAGACTTCTTAGGTATGGTCTGGTTATCACACCTGTCAATCATTGTGCTTTCAAGCAGCTATCACAAAGTAACACAAATAAAACAAAAGCAGGACTTTGTGATCAAGATTTAAAGAAAACAAAGTTTTTAAAAGACACCCTGAAAGAGCTAACCTACACATTCCATAAGCTTACATAAAGCTTCCAAAAATGTCTTAATAGCAGATTTTTGCAAATGTGTAAATTGGCACAGAGAAAGAACCACTGAAACAAACCACTGGAAGATGTAAAATCGGCATTCTTCTGCCTGGAAGCTTGAATTTTTTTAATAGCTTTTCATATCTTGATGATGAGGAGGAAAAGTATTGTATTCTGTCCACAATGAGAAATTCCAGGCAGTGATAAGATCCTATTGCCTGTTTTGTTATTGAAGGCACATCCAGCAATGAAATTTCCTTCCAGCTCAGGTAATTTTATGATTGTGATCCATCTATGTTGGTGAAGATTATAGCCTGATTACCTGTAATGGATTTATCAGATTTTTTTCCCTTTGGATAATACTTACTGCTTTCTATCGGGGTTCCACAACCAACGCACGTGAAGTTCTGGGCAGCCACCACTGCGTCTCTCCTGCATGCAGAGGCAAACAGTTACACCACTCAACATCCTAACCAGAGTTTGCTTAACGTTCAAAATGCAAGACAGCTACACTGAGACCAGTGAAAACAGCCAAATTAGGAGAAGATTCCTACTCCTGCACATGAAGGAGAAGGTTCTGGAAGGAGATGCAAATTATTATTTCAGTGGGAGTCTCCAACTTATTCTGCGGAGAACGTACCATCAATTACTGTTTCTACGTATGACTTGTTGCAAGAATTATTTCCCATTTTTTAAGGTAGCATCAATATCAAGAGGGAGGGGGAAATCCATGTTTGAAACTGAAAGGGCAATTGTATCCACAACACAGGTATTTAGCCAGCATGCCTATGGTGTGCGTTTAACAGCACAGATGAGACATGCAGAGTGAGACAGTAGCTTTCCCAAACATGACCTG